TTTACAATTAGCCAAATTACAAACACCAAAAAGAAAAAAAAAAAATAAAATAAAATAAAATAAAAACATGGGTACACATCTCATCTAGTAATTCGTAGATGGTTGTCTTTAAAGATTTGAGAAACAAGATATCTTACAAAAATAATTGATCAATTGTCAGGTTCATGCTGTCTTCGTAGTCCCAATACTCATCTTGGAGACATTAACACATTCAGTTTAGAAATAATAATTAATGGTAGGTTTGGAATTTTTAGGCCAAAGATCCTTGAATTCCTAAAATGGAGATTGCTATGGAACAGAAAACAGAAAAGGCTAAAAAAGAAAGGGAAAAAAAAAATGGGCGCGTCTAATGGTCCTTCTCGAACAGTTGTCTTTGAAGATTTTGACAACTAAAAAATCTTACAAAATGATCAATTATAGATTTATGTTGTCGCCTTAGACCCAATACCTTAGAGATACTAACAAATTCAGTTTTGAAATAATAATTAATGGTAAGTTGGGAATATTTAGGCCAAAAATGCATTGAACTCCTAAAACGGGGAGTGTTATGGAACAGAAAACAGAAACGGCTAAAACAATAATTATTTTGAGGAAGGACTATATTTCTTCAAACTAATTATACCCAACAAAACATATGCTCATATATTTCCCAAATTGCGCCCAATTGAGGACGTATCTAGAAAACAAATTAATCTTAAGGGATCTGCAAGTTAGAATTTGCCTTTTTTTTTATTTTGTGAAGAGAATTAGGTTAAGTGAAAATACTTTTTGCAAAGATTCCTTAAGAAATAAGAAAATCAAACACAAAAAATAATGAGACAGTAACCTGTTACCTGCTCAATAACTCCCTGAGTTCCATGCTGTATACATTATCATCTTCAGGCAGGTGAAACCTGGCGACTCTCCTGAGAGGAAAAGACCGCCTAGTTCTTGGAGGGTCTGAAGGTCCTTCCGACCAAGTATTGACAGCTTCAGTTGAGGCATCAATATTCCAAACCCCATGGGCTTCTTCTATATGATGTTGACGTCCATCTTCAGCTACCACTGCCGAGGGCCAGTCGGACATTGCATTTTCTGGCCTATTTTGTGCTACACCGCCTGAAGTATCATGTCTCCATCGATTAAGGTCGCTTTGTGCTGATTGTTGTTGGGTTACTCTCTCGTTTTCAGAACCCTGTTCCCGCCACTGGTTTCCTGCATCAGAAGCAACATTTTGATCTGTACTTTGAGCAGATCTATCAATATTCTCCATGCGATTCAGCAATTGAACATTGATATGTTGATGCCCATGTTGCAGTCTGTCTGAAACATTTGTGTTCCTTTGATCTCTTATAGATTCATTATTGTCACCATTCAACGAGGTGTCGGGTTGGCTGCTTACTTGACCACGAACAATGTTTTCCAGTCTAAAGCGGAACCCTTCCCTGAATTAAAGTAAACAATCATGCATCAAATACAAAGGCAATAATTTTTAATTCTTATTTTATTTATTTGTAATATATTTGTATATTACAATAGGATAAATTTAGAGGAAGAAATTACAAGTGCTACATAACATTCATCTAAAAACTTCAAAATCCTTCTGACAAACTCTCTTCGTCCAAGATTCAACGGCCATTTGGTTTCATTTTTACAAAGCATCTTTTCATTTTTTTTACTACTTAATATACCAATTGTGCAATTTTCTCATTAATACATGAAACATCCTTGTATTTCTATTTTAAAATCAATTATATGTCATTCATAGTAGTCATTCTACCAAACTCATTTTCAACCCACTAGCATAAATGAACAAAGAATAACAAACCAAATACATTATAATTGCATATTGAATATAAGCAAATAATCACATGCACTTTTACGTAAAAATTGAAAATCTAATGAAAGTATTCCGGCCGCAAAAGTGTAGATCGCATATTTCGGAATGACACTCAATCGGCCTCATTTTTTAACACCTGAATAAGAACTTCACCAAACATGAAGGATCTTTTCAACAAAACCCCACACCAAAAAAGCTCTAATGTGACGTTAAATAAAATTCCATTTCCAAATCTATAGTCAATATACACACATTACCAGATCTATATATTTTTATTCATAGAAAATATCTACTTAAAGTAATCATCCAAAAATGTGAAGATCATGGTGATCAATTGAGAATGAACTTCAATGGAGTATTAGGAACCTTTTATTTTCTTTTCGGGCCATCCGTAATGGACTTGTTATTTCCGCACAGCTAAAGCAGTATTGCGATATCAACCACATCTTCAGTGGCATGATTATTGCAGAACACATTTCCAAAACGTATCATCTAGTACTCCATACTAAGACAAAAATTGTCTGGTTAATGATGCAAAATGGAGTGAGAATTAAGTGTCTTGATGATCAGTACAATACTGTTCCCATACAAACCTAAATATACTAAGTTGTATTAAGAAATAGTAGTCCCAGGACATTATTTAA